CCTTTAGTCCCTTAGTCCCTTTAGTCCCTTAGTCCCTTTAGTCCCTTTAATCCCTTAGTCCCTTTAGTCCCTTAGTCCCTTTAGTCCCTTTAGTTCCTTAGTCCCTCTGTCTTGGTAAAAATGAGGTGTTATTTTTTTTCAAAATTCAATTTGAAATAAAAAAAACCCATAGACTCTATGAAGTAGACCCATGATCTGCAGCACGCTTGGTACAAATAAGGAATCAATCCAAAATAACCTATCTAACCCAGTTTTTCAGGCTGAATACGAATCTGAAGTCCATTTTCGTGATTTCTGTAGAAATTGTATGTCTTTGTGGGGTAGGATCAATGGTGACTAGGTAGGGTAGGGCACAGCGTCGTCCTTGCTAATTTGGCTCCTGAGTTTTTTCGTCTTGACAATTTAATGTCAAAAGATGTATCTTGAAAAGATCTATGTCTGGTAAAAAAAGAAGTTTGGGACCGCTTGCAGCACTCAAGAAAAGCCCAAAATACTGCTATCTCAGAGTGTCGAATTTCTTGAGATTTGGAAGGTTTTTGATCTATAGGGTTTCTTTTATCCCAGATATGAATCATCAAAGTTGGATAAATTTGTAGCCTATACGATTTCCTATTTAATGAGAGGTGCCCGATCTCAAACGGTCAAATCATTCATGAGAAAATATCAAAATACTGAGCACACCCATTTTTAGCCACTTTTTAGGGTCAATTTTGACCCCCCCTTAAACTTGTTTTAGCTCACATTTTTCATAGGTAAAACCAAATGCGCTAATATTTTGGATTTAACTATAGTTTACCTAGACCTATCGTTTAAGAAAATAAAATCGAAAAATTCTTTTCCCCGGCAACCTAGGGTGGTCCTCTCGCGGACCCTCTCTTAAATGCAATTGAATCTTGTTGAAAAATATCGTTTAAAGATTACATATTAGCTCAGTTTAGTCGTCCTTTCTTCTACAAGAGAGCACAGTCAATTCTGACATTTCTGAAATTTTTGTCCATAAAAGGGACGAGATCTCAATAAAACAATATCATAGTAGTTGTATAATACTAAGGTCCTTTCATTTTACAATGTTTCCAGAGTGGGGGAAAATCTGATGATTTTTGATCATCTCCTTTTTATAACTATCTATGACAACTTAATTTGCTTTAAACGATAACAAAAAAAACAGCTGTGTTTCTATAGCTTGATTCCTTTCCGATTCTCTCACATATTTCCTATATTGGTTAGCTTTTATCTATCATTTTGCGTATACAGAAAAAAAAATATATAAATGGCTTTTTCTGCATCTTTCACTTTCTTGTTCTCGCGAAATAACACAATGGTATCAATATCTACGCTCGTCATTTTAATATCAATCGGATTGGTTTACAGTACACCTGTTAGCGGAGAATCTTGCGAGGCTCAAGTATACAATTCTCCAGGTGTATGCGAGAGTCGATTATTTATCTCCAAACCATGTGATTCGGCGACGCTCAATTTAGGTGCGACGAATTTTAAAACATGCACTGATGTTAGGCTTTCATGGGATTATCCGACGAATAATTTAACCATGATTATTGAAACACCTTTCACACAACAGCGTCAACCATATGTTGTTAATCTTGACAGCTATTGGGTATTTGGTGGTACAACCTATCGACTACTAGACGGCAAAGAAATTGAATTGCAATCAGATGATAAAACTTTACCACAAAAATCGGATTCCAATTATCAAGTTGTATTTAAATTACAATTTCCACCATCGCCCACCTTATATGTCTTGTTTTTTAATTATAATGTTACCAAAGTTTGATAGAAAGTCATTTGTTCAAATAAATTTCTTTCTTCTGAATAAACAATAAAAAGAAAAGAACATCTTTTGAAAACAACTAATTTAGCTGTTACAAAATCCAAAATAATTTTTTTGTTTTCATTGGTAAAAAGAAACTTGATATAATCAGATTATTCTTTACCTACTCTCTCGTATTAAATAAAGTATGCTCAGCGAATATATTCATTAATAAGATATCAATATATATTCAGAGATAAACGGAACAAAAAATATTTTGTTATTTTCTCTTTCGAAGATATAGTTGAATATTATCAGCGAAATAGTTGCCGGTTTGTTCTCGAGCGAGCACTAAGCGCAGTTCACGCACTCGTACTAAAACTTCTCGTGAATCTGTGAATGATTGCCAAACAAATGCATTAGACTTTAATGGATGATCTGAAAAATGATAAAGATGAAAAATATTTTTTTATTAATTGAAGAAAATAAAACTTACCGATAAATGTCACTCAATTCATAACTTCGTCATGAAAAATTCCCGAGAGAAAAAAATAACCACCATCACATTTGACATTCAGAGAAAACGTGTAATTGACTTCATTGCTGACAATAAACACTGAAAAGTTGCTCATGTCAATATTCTGATACATTGTCACACCTTTACCATTTTGAGTTTTAGTGAAATTAAAAGTGTAATTACCGTAGAACGAATGGATTACAGGATTTATTGCCGTATCCTTTACTGCCATTGTAAACATTTATTTACAAATAGAATCTCTCAGTTTTGGCAAGTTACAGCACAACCTTTTTTCATAGTAAGTTATATGATTACGTTAGATAATTCTAATGATCAGAATAGAAACTTTTGTTTGAGACCTATGTCAAAGGTTTGTTTTTCATGTCAAATGTTCGTGAAAATATATTGAAATCTAACTATAGTTTGTAATCAATTGAATACATTGAGAAGAAAATTTTTCTGTTTTTCAGCACAAAGATTTATTTCTCAAGTCAAGCGTTCGTAGAAATACGCTTGAATTTATCAATAGTTCGTAATTCAACAGATAAATCGAACAAAAAATTTATTCTCTGATTCAAAAGTTTGTTTTTCATGTCAAAAGTTCGTGAAAATACATCGAAATCTAACTGTAGTTGGTAATTAAGTTTGTAAATTAAAGAAAAAAAATTCTATTTTCCAACTCATAGATTTTGTTTTCATGTCAAATGTTTGTGTAAATGCACTGAAATCTAACTATAGTTTGTAGTTAATTACAGAGATGAAAAAAAAGATTTTTTTATTCTGTAGCTCAAAGGTTTACTTTTCATCTCAAATGTTCGTGAAAATACATTTAAGTTTATCAATAGTTCGTAATTGAATACATAAACTTAAAAAACAGTTTTCTAGCTCAAAGGTTTGTTTCTTATCTCAAATGATCGTAAAAATTTATTAAAAGGATTCTACAGTTCATGTATTTTTTACTCATGTTTAATAGTCTAATTTTGATTTCTAATATTTCTAGAAGAATTTCCTAAAAAGTATATTAAATCAAAAGATTTAGCAAATCCTTAATCTCACTAAATGGAATATTAATATTGCATTATATGACTCATTTCTTAATCCTATATTGTGATCATTAGTTTATCTGAACTATAATTCATATAACTTACCAATTTCAATTAATAATTGATTCGTTGAACATGTTACAATTTTATTTTATATTTTCAATAAGATTATTCAAGCAAGAAACATGTTGATAATCCAAATCCGGAGCATGGGATCAACAGAGATGCATTGAAACTCTATCAAGCAGATCAGAAAATTTACAATGAAACAGTGAGAGAGTGCACTAGGAAACATGCTATGAAAAATGGCAATTAAAAGACTTGATTAAGTCACAGCATTTACTGATATATTTACGTCAGATATAAAGACAGACATTGAAAAAATCATCCACACTATTTATTATGTTTCCAACTGAACAAAATTCGTTTTCTTATGTGTTTATTGAAATAAAGGCATATAAATTGGTTCGTACTCCATAAACAGAATCGGTGTTAAATATACATGAGCAGAAGGTACAACAAAGAAATAGTTTAATTCTTAGGCAAATCTTGAGTATTCATCAATTAATCACGGATATTTTTTTCCTTTTACTTATGAATAAAATAAGGGTTCGTAACTAAATGAACTAGCGAATTTTGATTATCAAACATCAACAAAACAAAAAGTCTTTTGCTTTGATTCATATTCATCTGAGTTTATTTAAATCAGTTATGGATTAAAAGGGTGTGGGCATGGAAGGGTTGTGGGTGATTATCTTCAGCAGGACATACTCACACCTACACCCACACTCGCATCCACATCCACTCACATTCATCCATCCACGCTAACACCCACATACCCTCACCCAGACCCACACCCGCTGCGTCTGGCCATTATTTTACGCCAGGTTTGCGTAGTAGCACTATTCTTAACAATGAATGCAACACATTTTAATAGAGAATGCTCGTGTAACACGATGATATGAATAAATACGTTGGTAAATCTTAGAAAAGCCTGAATATAGAATTAGTTGTGACGTGAAGCAATAAAAAGAGAAAAGAAAAGGAATATATAATCCGTGTTAGCATTCCATTTGTCACGATTAATTGTAAGGCAGTATACAATTATTCTAGCTCCATAAATTCTTGTACCCCGGACGAAATACAAAATTCACCATCTTTAGTACAGTGATGGTCACCAC